GAGCCATACGCAATCATAAAAAGAGCCATATATGGCTCGCGAGCCATACGTTACCGATCCCGGATATAGACACTGGGTTGTCACTCTTTGTGCGATGGATTCACAAGTACCAGACCAGGCCGATACGCGAGGTGATTTTTACGATCGCAATGTGGACCGGTTAGACTCGAGTTCACATTGCGGGTGGGGGACGGGGCCCTGGTGGTGGTAGCGGTAGCGGTATCAGGGGGCATGTCGACGAAGGTAGAGGAGTGAGGGCAGTGGGGTCGGTGGTGGTTGAAGTAAAGGTGGTTGCAGATATGAGTGACCAGGTGCTTGCACAGGTAGTATGGTAAAGTAAATGCCGCCCGTATTTTCGGAGCATTATGCCACAAACGCGCAAAAATCAACCTCTTCTGACTGGCTACCCTTTATCTTGTTATATTTACCCTATGCCATATATCCCGCTGTTTCAACAAGACTCTCCAATTTTGCTGTCTTCCTTTCTCAGTACAGGCCCCGCCTAAAACATTCATTCGGTTTTGCATACAGGATATTGGCGACGCAGTTTAACGAACGTAGCTTCATTATTTCCCACAACGTTAACTTTCTTACCAAAAAGCGCTCCGAAACACTATAAATACTCAGTGTTACAATGATTGTAGTTAACTAATTCTCATATTTTCGTTTACGAATACACCAAGCGTTACCTCTAATTTGAAACTCCTCCAGACCCCTCTCGGAGAACTGGGACGCCGTTGCTTTTGTTCTCTTAAGTTGCAAGAAGCTGCTGATCTCTAAACGTCATTCAAGAAGATCGAGGTAATGTGGGGCGGAAGAGGCAACACCTTTCTGAGCCGCTATACGTTTTGCCAGATTAATTAGGAATCTAACAAATGCACTGATGGTTTTTATTACGAATCTGACTCTCGTCATCCAGGACTGCTGGTACAAACAGATCGAGGTGGATAAACTCGAGCAGACAATGGTCGTCGTGGGTTCGCGTAATGGAAAAGCACGGGAGAATCTTTTATCAGAGAGGAGGGAGTTGTCATGAAAGGAAGCCTGTGATATCGTCAGTCATCTAGAATGCGTATGGAGAAAAACTTCAGCTACTTACTCGACCCAACACTGGAGTTATTTCATCCTTGTAAGCTGATTTGGCGATCTCCCTCGTCAGAACTGCCGGGTTTTAACCTTAACGACAACCACTTACCATTGTGTTACCTTTGTGATCGGCAATATTTCAGTTAGTTAGACTGTAAAAACCAAAATAGTATTTGTCGGCATTTTAAGGAAATCGCACACCTCCACCAATTGTGTTTCTCCAAAATAACGGACGAGTAATAACATGCATGCAAACCATCCTAACCCAGCTGGGAACGGTGCGAGGTTATTTCAAATTTCGTCAGCTAGCATGTAGCTTCGATCACCATACGGGACTGCTTTCTCCAACCCCCTGCCATTTTCGTTTAACGGATTGGTACTTTCTAGCTGAGTAACGTCATCTGCTGACGAAACAGTTTTCAAAAAATTGATTTTTTTCAATGATTTCCGAGCAGCAGGTATGAGGGAGGTACTGACATATTAATTAATGTCAAGGATGAAGTCTACCTCCCTTCATCTTTCAGCGCTAGGCTGCATAGACGTTCACGTCGTTTCCATCCACAAAATGGCATCTCCTTTCTGCCCTCGATCCAACTTATCTTTGAGCAGACTAAGAGGCTGCCAGAGGAAAAAGAACTAGCAGACGAGATCAATTTTGCTGAAAACCCTTCGCTAAATGTGGCGAACTTCTTTACTAACATAGTAATATCGCTGGGACAAATGCGGCAATCCGTACTTCGGGATGCCTTACGGAATCGTTTAGCTGATGCTAAGTTGAAGGCTGATAGCTTCAACGCTTCCTCGTCCAGAATATTCA